AGGGTAGAAACCGAGAGGGAAGAAGAGGGAGAGTAGGAACCGAGAGGGGAGAAGAGGGAACAGAGAGGCGCGAGGAGACAAAGAGGAGAGAAGGAGCAGAGAGGCGCGAAGAGACAGAGAGGAGAGAAGGAGACAGAGACCGAGAGGCGGGTAGAGACAGAGAGGCGGAGTAGAGACAGAGAGGCGGAGTAGAGACAGAGACAGAGAGGCGGAGTAGAGACAGAGAGGCGGAGTAGAGACAGAGAGGCGAAGCGACAGAGCGAGAAGCGATAGAGACAGAGACCGAGACTCGGTCTTAGCTACAGTGATTCGGTCCTCCGGTTTTGGCCAACAGAGGCTCGGTTCGTCCAGGGTACTTTCGGCCTTAAGGAGCTTCGGCTCCTTGAGAAGGGTTTCGGTTCCTAAGGTCCATTTTTCTCGTTTTTACCCCGTTTTAAGCCGTTTTTGACCCGGTTAAGGGTCGGAATGACCCGAATGATTCTAAAAAGTTACGGGAAACTTTTGAGAGAGATTTGGGAGAGATTTCTCACACTTGGAGAGATTTGTGAGAGATTTGACATTCTTGGGGAGATTTCCCATACAAAGAGATTTTTGCGAGAGATTTCACATACTTGGAGAGATTAGGGAGAGATTTGACATTCTTGGAGAGATTTCTCATACAGAGAGATATTTGAGAGAGATTTCACATACTTGGAGAGAATTGGGAGAGATTTGACATTCTTGGAGAGATTTCTCATACAGAGAGATATTAGAGAGAGATTTCACATACTTAGAGGGATTTGGGAGAGATTTGACATTCTTGGAGAGATTTCTCATATAGAGAGATATTTAAGAGAGATTTCACATACTTAGAGGGATTTGGGAGAGATTTGGCATTCTTGGAGAGATTTCTAATACAGAGAGATATTTGAGAGAGATTTCACATACTTGGAGAGATTTGGGAGAGATTTGACATAGAGAGAGATAAAGTGAAAGCGATTAAGAGAGGTTCCATGTGTGACAATTATGAGTGTCCGGCATCGCAATGTATGGTTCGTAAACCCTGTTAAGCCTTGTTTTAGGATCTTACACACTCCCGATGAGTATGCAACATTGTTTTATCGGTTTGGCTAGCCACGTACCACAGTTTTAGGTTAAGGAGATCTAGATGTTCGCACTTTTTGATTTATGATCTCTCATTAGAATAGAGAGTTATGTAGAAATTTCATAATGTAAATTCTAGTACCCAAGGGTAAATTGAGTCAAACGGTTTGACTTGTTGACTTTAGTTGACTTTGGCTTGACCGAAATTTGATAGTTGTCACAAAGCACCAAGATAGAAACTTTATACTTACAAAGGTCCACAAATAGGATGAAGAAGTTGGATCTAAGTTGGAGCAACTCTTCCTTGCACCAAATGGGATCTCTCTTCAACTTCAAACTTAACAGAATAGTATAAAACACTACAATATTAAAAAAAAGTGCTAGGGTTTTTAGAAGAAACGATTTAAGAGAATAGGGGTTGCCAAATGTGTCATCCCCAAATTCACGGTTATTTTTTAAAAAATTATGCTTATTTGAAAATCAGATTATTCATTTTTAAGAATAATATTATGGAATTTGTTCCCAGAAATCATGATAAATATATTATCAAAGCATTTCTGAAGAAATGTATTTTGTTTATATTAAAACTTTGGGATATCATCGTCAATACAAAAACATAAGCATAAACAGAATTTATTTACACTAGTGATTTACATCTCCTTAAGTCTCAGTGTAATGTAGCTTCATATCGATACATGTGATAAAAATAAACTGAGTGGGTTAGGTTGGGAAACCTAGTGAGTACATAGGGTTTTCAATCCATAATAATATAATAATTATGTTTCATCATCAAACAAGGAACCCAATTACCCATTCCTATTATCTTCTATATTCTTAAGTATCTTCCCTAAGAATCATCTATTCCTCAATATTTGTTCCTAAGGAATAGGCATGGAGGCCATGGCTACTAAGGTTTATTTAACAGGCACTAAGTCCATAGTTTCCAATGCTCATTTGTAAGGCACGAAATCCATAGCTGCCAGGGTTTATCTCTTTTATTGACAATATTATTTTAGGGAGTCCACCCACAATACACGTCTATTGGTTTTTTTAGAGTACATCTGGTGAACACATCGTTCACAACACCTACAAGTTAAGAGTCTGGTAGTGTTCCACTGGATTGTCTAGAATAGTTTGTGGTTGTCATCTATACTCTGCTAAATGACACGGCCATCGCTTGGGTCATTGCTTCTCATCATCTTTAACCTCTCATCATCTATATCGTCTTTCATCTCTCATCATTCATCTCATATTTCATCTCTCATCTCATCTTTAATCCACCCATCTTTACCCAACATAATTATAGTTATAAAATACGTATACTATTTAAATCGAATAAAACATGTATATTTTATTCATCCAACATAGATATCAAGAACACAGATAATATGCACACATAGCACATAACTTATATTAAATATTTCATATTTATGTGTAAGATGAAAGTAACTATGCACTCACTTGTTAAAGTAATGATTCCCAACTAAGGCAGCGTTTCGCTTCTAATAATTCTATTTTCCTTCGATGGAACCTAGTATCATTACCGCTAGATTTTAGTATAATACTTATTGCAACTATTTATGAGCGATATTTTTTTAAAAGTGTTAAATGATACTTTTCAACCACTATGTATAGACAGGGGCAGACATGAAACACCGGAGTGCATGACCATTTTGGCATTATAGCACTTCTGAAATCCAACAACCCTATGCGGCTCTTCAAACCAGATTCCCCGCACCGCGAGTAGTTAAAAGATACTATAGTAACACTTTTTATATTATATTTTATTTTATATATTATTTATAAGTTCATAATAACGATATTGAAACTTAAATATAAGCTATAGTTAAAGTAGGTTAAGCATAACTCACTTACTAGGAGGTTTAACTAGGAACTGGGTTCTGCGAGGGTAGAACTTTTTAGCCGAAAGATCTTCTTCTCAGAGCCTTCTGCGCTCTAGGACTCGCCTCTAGCACTCGGGAAGTGCTAGGAATGGTAGGGGCTAAGAGGGGTGTTTGAGAGAGAGAGAAAGAATGGGATAGGTGTGAGTTTTTGGGGTAATTTACGCCTCTATTTATAGGCTGAGTCCAGTTCGAACGTGGGGCATTCCCTTGCTAAACTATGGACGTTCATGGCCAGGTGTCAGCATCTGGTGTCAAGGTGTGGTGAGGAGGCAGTGGCTTAGATCGCACCATGTATCGCTTGTTGGTTACACCAAAACTAATTATTTTCTAAAATTTGTAACTTTTGCATACGAGCTCCGTTTTTGATGTTCTTTATCTCCATACATATGTATCAACAAGATCTACAACTTTTGTTTACACTCCATCAGCTAATTTTGAATTTATTTTTAAAGTTATATTTTAACAGACTTAAACAGGTAAAATCCATTAAAATTTCATAACTTTTTCATACGACATCCGTTTTTTACTATCTTTATATCGTTGAGCTCCTATAAATGAGATCTTTAATTCTTATTTAGGTTGTGTCAGCAAAAAATCGATATCTAAAATTCGAATTCCAGGTTGTGTATTACTATACTAAATCTTAGAAAAATTATAACTTCCTCATACGAAGATAGATTTATACGTTCTTTTTATTCACGCTCTTGGTTTAACATATATTATGACTTTTGTTTAGATCGATAAGGCTAAAAAGTAGTTTATCTTAAACTCACTTTTTACTATTCCCGGTGTCGTGTCGGTTTTACCATAAAACTTCGACGAGTTATAACTTCTTCCATATAACTTGGATTTTAGCATTCTTTATATATACGGAACCCTTGTGATATATACTATAACTTAGTTAAGATTATTTATTCTAAATAACTTTGTATCAAAAAGTCATTTCTAACGCTTATTATTTGTAAATTTACTAGGCTGAATCTGTGGGGATTACAATTATCTCCTCCTTAGGATGATTATGTCCCAGAATCATCAACAAAACAGGGCTTGTATAATGACTCCATGTGTTATCTTTTCACCCTAGGTAAGAACTATAACTTTTATGTCCTTTCAAACAAGTATCTAACTCTTGGACTACTTGCCTGTTGGCGATGCTCAATCTTGCATTTATTCTTTGTACTATGTTGGACTTTCAATTGTAATCTTTGAGTTACAATCTTGATTCTCATTGGAAACTCCTTCTTCTTCTTAACAGACTTTAGATAAGTTCTTTCCTTCGATTACCATAATAGACTGATGGGTCATATTCTAATGACCTCTCATGGTATGATGCAATGCTTAGACTCAAGTATTTTAGAGTCAAATTCCAGAATGGAATATACCTTCCTTCATGTTCTAATGTGATATAACCACTTTCTAGCATATAGAACTTCTAGCTACAAGCTTCTTTCTTTAATAATGATCATGATACTTCTATTGATCGCTTAGAATATTATCTTTCACTTCGATCTTTTGGCTTAAGTTAGATACTACGTCGAACTTGGTTCTCTGAACCATGTAACATACTCGTCTTAGTCGGACTCGATTTGATATCACCACTAGGGTCGGAATAACAATCATCCTCTTAGTCATTACCAAAACGATGGTAACAACATACCTGAATCAAACATAATCAATTACCAAGGTTGTAAAAATCGTTCGGCGGTACCTTGGCGGTCAACTGGGGTCAAGCGATTAATCGGTCTAGGGGGATTAATCGCCGCCTAGGCGGGGACCCTTAATTGTAAAAAAAAAAAAAAAAACTTAAATATTACCTATATCATATGATTATCTCTAAACAAAATACTAACAAAACATGTAAATATCCATAAACGTTTACATATTCAAGTCATAAAACAATACATGTCCAAAGTAAGTAAATATTCATAAACGTTTACATATTCAGGTCATAAAGCATCATACAAAGTCCAAAATAACTTTTATAAGATCAAACTTTTGATTGTTCACAGGCTTCTACTCTTTATCTCCGCATTCTTCCATGATGTGAACTCCATCCGATTCATAATCAACTTCTTCAAATACTTCCTCCTCACCACCTGACGCAAAATCTTCATCTAAAAGTTCTCTTGTTCTTGAACTTTGTCCGAGTTCATCGGTTCCTTGACCATCACCAACTATGCCAACTCCATCTTCATCACAATCACCACAATCAACAATCCATTCTTGAGCCGTGTGACTATCATTAGCTAATAACACTTCCATATTCCTTTCTTTTCTCTTTTTGTTTTTTTCCATCAAATTAGCATTAAATTGGACATAAACAAGATTGTTCATTTTACTTCCATCCAACCTATTTCTTTTCTTCGTGTGAATCTACAAACGTAAAAAAAATAAATGGTAAAAAATATACAATATTATGATATAAAATTATAATTTAAATAAATTGCTTAAATTTGAAGTTTGAATTCTAACCCCTTCAAAGGTGCTCCAATTCCTTTCACATCCAGATGAACTACTAGTCAAAGAAAGAATTCTTATTGCAATCTTTGTAAAATGAGGAGTTGCTCCACCAAACGTACCCCACCAAGTTGCTATGATTTTTAAACATAAATCACATTATTAGATTCATAAATTGATAAATATGAATTTTTATAAAATAATTAAACAAAAGTAAAATGTTTTACCCGGATCGTAGTCACCATCATTAACTTCACATGCTTTAACTGCAAGTTCCCGACCAAATCTATCCATTTTTTTCTTGTACTTTGGCAACTCAATAGTCACGACTTGCTTTTGCATCTCTAAATCTCCGGCAAATAATGTATCAAAAAACTCAAGAACCGCATCCATTACTTCGGGATCATGTTGGAGTTGTGGATCCTTATAATGATAATAAGGATTTAGAAGATAAGCCGTCAAATGCAATTTTGAATCTAGTCTACCTTTCATTTTCTTTGATATGATATTTATGATAGGCTCATATGCTTTTTTGTTACCGCCTAAAGCATCAATGATTTCTTTTTTTGCTTTTTTAATCTCACCATAAACAAAACCCATCGAGGGCTTCCAATCCGCATCAACCATACGAAGAACTTTCACCAAAGGGGAAAACACCTTTAAGCAAAGTGCCACACCCGCCCAAAATGTGGAACCTGTCACCAATGTATGACTAGATCTCCCTTTAACTGCATTTGAAAATTTACATTCTTCCCAGTCGTTGCTAGAGAACATATGCCTTAGTTGCTCTTTTTTTTTCAGACAAACTTAGTAATGTTAGATAGGCGGAAGCAAATCTCGTGACACCCGGTCGGATGATATCCCTTTTGTTAGTGAATTTTCTCATCATAGCTAACGTTTTGTGGTGGGCATAAATGAAGATGGTTAGTTGCTTTGCTTGATCTAAGACTTTCTTGAACCTTGGAAGCCCACCAATACCTTCAAAAAATAATCACGATTAAAAACACAAATAGAATTATAAAACACAATAAATAAAATTACAAATACCTTCAAGCATAAGGTTTATGGTATGTGTCGCACATGATGTCCAGAAAATCTTTGGTCTTTTCTCTTTTAGCAACTTTGCGGCTCCCATGTTATTCGTGGCATTATCGGTTACCATTTGAACAACATGTTCGGGACCAACTTCTTGAATGCAAGATTCCACATACTCATATATATGTTGACTTGTATGTGCTTCATCCGAACATTCTTTTGAAGATAAAAAAAATGGTACCCATCTTTGAATTGACACATAAATTCATAATGCTCCTCCTCTTTCTATCAGACCAAGCATCCGTCATAATCGAGCATCCATCTTGTTTCCATTCTTCTTCATTTTTTTTCACTAAATTTTTTGTTCTTTCAACTTCTTTTTTTAAAATTGTGTTACTCAACTCATACCTAGTAGGAGTTGGAAGCCCGGTTCCATATTGGCCGATTACCTCCACCATCATTTTAAAGCTATCCTTTTCGAAGGCATGAAAAGAAATTGCACACTCATATGCCCACCTACCAATGAAACTTTTCACCGTTGATATTCTTTCTTTTCGAATAGCATTGTTAATATCAACTTTTTTGCCTTTTCCCGACTTCAAAGATTCTTCGGGGTTTAATGTGTTTGCAAAGTTATCCATCGGGCCTATAACATATGGTTCCCTCAAGCTCCCAAAATTATTCTCTATTTCATCCGTGTCTATACTAATGTTTTCATTAGTATCAAATCTCACCTCCGATCTTAACGCTTCATCATGTGCTTTTTTTCCCTTCTTTTTTAACTTTCCTTCATTGATAGCATCTTGACATCTCAACTGATCATCTTTGGTAGACTTTTGACATGGAGTTACATGTCCTTTCACATGAGCAATATGTTGTTTCATTCTTGAAGCTCCCCCACTATAAACTTTTCCACACAATGTACACTTCAATTTATCCAAGTTTGTAGGATCTGGGCAAATAGCAAATTCCCAAGCAATATCATTTGAATTCCTCTTTAAACCAGTAGCTGTTGAATCCATTGATTGTGTAGTTGAATTTTTAGATGCCATTAACAACCTTTAATCTGTGAAATTTTGAAAGAAATGGTAATTAGACATGGGCAGAAAATAATTGTAATCTGGAATGAAACAGGAATGAAACAGGCATGAAAAAGATGGAATGAAACATGGGCAAAAATTAGGATTGAAACAGGGGCAAAATGGTCCAGCTTGTATGATCACTTATGAAACAAGGGCAAAAATCAAAACACAGGAAAGGAAAACCCAAACCAAAATAGTTAGACCATTGTGCAACTTGTATATTCTTATGTTCGTAAGCAAACAAAAATTGGAATGAAAAACCGAAACCAAGGGAAAAACTTACCGATGACAGCTGGTCAAAGTCGATTGTGAGAAATCCCGAATCCGGAATCGACAGATTGAATTGTTTGGACTCGAACGTGTGGTCGGAATACGTTGCAGCGATGATTAGAAATCACGATGGTGAATGTTGTGCAAATATGCGATGCGTCGTTGAATAACAATTAAATCGCAAAAATCAGAAACAAACCTGCGAGTGCGAATCTGCGATGCGTCGTCGTCCCATGTGTCGGAGTCCGATGGTGAATGCTGTAGCCGGAATCGCTAAACCCTTGTCGCCGGAGTCTGATGGAGAATGTTGTAGTCGATCGCTGGAGAAGAGAACGAGATGAATGAGGCGCAAAAAAAAAACAAGATGAAGCTGTATTTCTTTTAGTCGATTAGGTTAAGAAAAAAGGTTTAATTTTGACTTTTTTTAGTTGACTTATGTTGACCTATTTTGACCGCCTAGACCGCCATTTTCCGCCTTTGACCGTCGTTGAACGATTCCGATTAATTCCAACGCCTATCAAAAATCCTATACAGTTTACCTCCGCCAAGCGCCTAGGCGGCCGCCTAGGCCGATTTTTACAACACTGTCAATTACTAGTGCCTTCATAACTTTGTGAGTTTCCCTGATCCAAGTGTGAGCCATGTTCTTCTGGTAGTATAGGCCTCTACTACCTTTCACACCTACTCATACTCGTCCCAAGTATTCTCTCGTAGTTCTCCAAGTCATGATACAAGTATTTCACATAGTCATTTAACAAATCGGATAACATAACTAAGGTTTATATTATTTCTTGAAACAATTACATAGATATTCAATTTCACCCTACACCAGGCCTCTTATATTAGGCTATACCACATAATACTATCTATATGGCTACTTCATATCTCGATCTTTGGATATATAGATCGCCAGTCCTGATCCCTTACATTGTCACCTACTTTGTCAAGGATCATTTGAGATGCTCTTTCCTTTGGCTGTGGAGGTACATTCGCTCTTGTAGCTTTGTTTTTCTTTGGGTAGTTCTTCGAAATATGCCCATAATTTCCACATTCATAACACTTCTTGTTGTCAAATGTATAATCTCTGGAATAATGGTCGATCTTACCACACTTATAGCAAGTCACTTCTCCATCGCATCTCCCGAAGTGCTTCTTCTTTCACTTCTCACATCACTTGGTTCCACCACTAACTCCAAACTTTTGGTCGTCCAGGTTGGCTTCGTGAATCTTCCTTCCTTCTCTGATCTTGAGGATACCTCAATCTTCATTTTCTCGCCAACTTCAACATTGTTGGCGGTTCTGCCTTAGGTCATTTCTTCAACAGACTTAGCAACCTAGATGGTTGCCTCCAGAGTAGGTGTCTGGCGTATTGGCACAGTAGGTTCATCCTTATTTTTTTTTAAGTAAACGCCTTGTCTCTTCTATCTGAAGATCCAACATCATCTGGATCATCGCTTATACTCCTACCATCGTGATTGGCTCGGGTGCAGCTGCTACTTCTAGTGCACGCTCAATTACTTGTAGCCCGGGCTGTAGGTTACTACTTTCCAATTTGCTTCGATTACTCATTATGTCGATCTATACACCAAGTTAGAAGTTTGGTATGCACTGACGAGAATTTGGATAGGGAAAGCTTTATTTACGATAGACGTATAAATCTCCTTATCACTCTGAAAAGTTATATGTCAGTTCTAATACCATAATTAAATATTTAGAAACCTGAACACATAAAGTTTCCATATCAGGTCGGCAACATACCATAGATCTGATCAAATAATAGCATATAAGTCATCTTTATAGCTATAACATAATTCATTTAGCATATAAAAGCAATTTAGGAATATTCTTTCCTAAAGTAAGCTAGTTCTTGTGTCTATTCAAGTGTACTACCTAATATATTAGATACACTCCTCATGATCATAGGTTAGCATTCTAAGTTTAATTCAAGAAATAAATCCTTGTTCCTAGTTCTCTTAAACTAATGCTCTGATACCAACTGTGACATCCCCAAATTCAAGGTTATTTTAAAATTGTTATTTATGCTTATTTGAAAATCAGAGTATTCATTTTTAAGATTAATATTGCGGAATTTGTTCCTAGTAAAACATGATAAATATATTATCAAAGAATTTCTGAAGAAATGTATTTTGTTTATATTAAAACTTCGGGATGTCATTGTCAATACAAAAACATAACTATAAACAAACCTTATTTACACTAGTGATTTACATATCCTTTAATCTCTCAGTGTAATGTTACTTCGTATCGATACATGTGATACAAATAAATTGAGTGGGTTAGATTGGGAAACTTGATGAGTAAATAGGGTTTTCAACCCACAATAATATAATTATTATGTTTCATCATCAAATAATTAACCCAATTACTCATCCACATTAACTTATTTATTTTTAAGTATCTTCCCTAAGAATCATTTATTCCTCATTATTTATTCCTAAAGATTGTCCTAAGGAATAGGCACGAAGTCCATCACCGTTAAGGTTTATTTAATAAGCACTAAGTCTATAGATGCCAATGTTCGTTTGTGAGGCACTAAATCCATAGTTGCCATGGTTTATCGTACAATATTATTTTAGGAAGTCCACCCACAATACATGTCGATGGGTTTTTTTAGAGTACATCTGGTGAACATATCGCTCACAACACCTACAGATTGCGAACCTTCTAGTGTTCCAATGGACTATCTAGAACAGTCAGTGGTTGTCATCTATACTCTGCTAGATGACTGGGTAATCGCTTGTGTCATCTCTTATCATCATCTTTCACCACTCATCGTCTATATCATCTTTCATCTCTCATCATTCATCTCATCTTTCATCTTTCATCTTATCTTTAATCTACCCATCTTTACCCATCATAATTATATGTATAAAATACATATACATTTAAATCGAATAAAACATCTATATTTTATTCATCCAGCATAGATATCAAGAACACTAAATAATATGCACACATAGCACGTAATTTATAGTAAATACTTCATATCTATGTGTAAGATGAAATTAACTATACACTCACTCGTTAAAGTGATGATTTCTAACTTGGACAACGCTTCACTTTTAACAATTCTATTTTCCTTCGACGAAACCTAGTCTCATTACCGCTAGATTTTAGTCTAATATTTATTGCGACTAATTACGAGCGATGTCGTTTTATAAGTGTTAACCAGTACTTTTCAACCACTATGTACAGACAGGGGCTAGACATAAAACACCGGAGGGCATGACCATTTTGGCATTATAGCACTTCTGAAATCCAACAACCCATTGCGGCCCTTCAAACCAGATTCTTTGTACTGCGAGTAGTTAAAAAATATTATAATAATACTTTACATATATATATATATATATATATATATATATATATATATATATATATATATATATATTGTTTATAAGTTCCTAATAACGATATTGAACTTAAACATACGCTATACTTAAAGTAGGGTAAACATAACTCACTTACTAGGAGGTTTGGCTAGGAATTGGGCTCTACGGGAGCAGAACTTCTGAGCCGAAAGCTATTCTTCTAGGAGCCTTCTGGTGCTCCAGGACTCGCCTCTAGCACTCGGGAAGTGCTAGGGAATGGGAGGGGCTAAGAGAGGTGTTTGAGAGAGAAAGAATGGGAAATGTGTATGTTTAGGGTGGGTCTAGTTCGAATGTGAGGCGTTCCCTTGCTGAACGTTGGGAGTTCGTGACTAGGTATCAACATCTGGTGCCAAGCCATGGTGATGAAGCAGTGGCTCAGATCATGCCATGTGTCGCTCGCTCATTACTTCAAAAAACTAATTATTTTCTGAAATCCGTAACATTTTCATACGAGCTCCGTTTTTTACATTCTTCATATCCACACGTAAATATCGACGGGATCTACAACTTTCATCTAGACTCCGTCGACTAATTTTAAATTTATCTTTAAAGTTATATTTTAACAGACTTAGACAGTTAAATTTCGTTACATATTCAAAACTTTTTCATCTGACGTCCGTTTTCAATTGTCTTTATACTGTTGATCTCCAATTAATAAGATCTTCAATTCTCATTTAGGTTGTGTCCACTAAAAAATCGATCTAAAATTCGAATTCTAGATTATCCACTTTTATGCTAAATCTTAGAAAAATTATAACTTGTTCATACGAAGTCAGATTTGAACGTTCTTTTTATGTATGCTCTCGGTTTAACGTATACTACGACTTCCGTTTAAATTTATAAGGCTATAAAGTATTTTATCGTAAACTCGGTTTTTACGATTCCTGGTGTCGTGTCGGTTTTGTCATAAAATTTCGACATGTCATAACTTCTTCGTTATAACTCGGATTTCAGTGTTCATTATATGTACGAAACCCTTATGAAATATAATATAGCTTATTTAAAAGAATAAATATTAAATAATAACAAATTATTAAAAAATATATAATTGGAGATGGTATTTCGTTTTTAGTAAAAGGTTATAAAGTCAACAATCACCGATTTTTTTTTGAAACGACAAATTTAATATACTTCTAAGCTATAGTTTAAATTTATTTATGTGCACGACGAGACTTGAACTCTCAACTTAAAGTATGGAAGACAACACCAGATACCAAACCTTTGGTAACAATCGGCGATTTCGTTATTAGTAAAATGTTTTATGTAGTTGATAATATC